TCATTTTTTCTTATAAAATGAGGTAAAAGGGCAGGGGGGGGCATTTTGTTGCTTTAACGATTTAATATCTTCAATGAAAGTACTGAGACAGAGAGAGGGATTAGACAGGGTGCCTTTTGAGTCATTTTGTCCTGCCTTTTGTCTTGCCCCGGTTAGGATTTCTTAAGCAAATCCACTGGGCTTTCAACATGAAGCCAGAAAATCGGGACTTTTTAAAAACGCCCCGGGACACGGGACAAATTGTTAGAAATCGTGACTCTCCCACCGAAATCGGGACGTCTGGTCACCTTACCCACCCCTATTTTAGCAAAAGGGAAAAAAGTCATGATACGTCACGTGATGAGGCAAATTTGATACCCCTGGGCTAGAGAAATGGGCTAAAATATGAAAAGCAAATGTTAACACAACAAAACCAAATGCACAGGTATAGCACAGGGCAGGGAAGTCAAACTGGCGGCCTGCAGACCAGATGCATCATGCGCAGGCCACGCCCACCCCACCTCCACGATGGGAAAATGTCACATGACGGCAATGTGACGCTGCAAATTTCACACCTATTGCATAGGGAATACCTGATCTGGAAATGCTGCTTGTAAATAAGTTGGAATAATTAATTGCAAACTATAATCACCAAAGTATTTAAGCTCTTTTCATATATATCACTGCCCTATATCACGTTCCTCATGTTCTATTCCTATTTTGATTTTTCAAACCCAAATATAGGACCTTGTGGCTTACTTTTTTCTGGTTCAAATTCCCCTTGCTGGTTCTACCAATTTGTCAAGTTATTTTCTACCTTATGTATCTAAGTTCTCTGAAATGTGAAAAATTACATCTTCTAACCTCTCACCAAGGTCATTTATATGTTGAATAGCATGGAGCCAACAATGAAACTTGGTGATAGAACTGACATTTTCTGCAGCTTATCATAGAACCATTGTAGCAAGACAAAGGATAATGGATTTAGGTTAGAGAAAGATACAGTCTAACTGAATGTAAGGGGGGGGGGAGTTTTCAGAGTAAGAGTAAGAATCAATTACTTAGAAATATGCTGGAGTCCACTTGTTGGGTTATGCTCGGGTGGAGGATAGAGCCAAATGCTTTAATTTGGAGTTTTGCAGAGCAGAATGTTGCACCTGATGGGTCTAAATCAGTGTTTTTCAACCACTGTGCCATGGTACACTAGTGTGCCGTGACATAGTGTAAGGTGTGCCGTGGGAAAAACAGTTTATATATAGTCAATATAGGCACAGAGTTAAATTATTTTAACATTTTCTAATGGTGGTGTGCCTCGTGATTTTTTTCATGAAAAAAGTGTGCCTTTGCACAAAAAAGGTTGAAAAACACTGGTCTAAATGACCTTTTCTAGTCTTCTAAGAATTACCTTATGGGGGTCTAAATATTCTCTTTGCTAGATAGAACCCAACTCCTTGATACGGTAACAGGAAGTGGACATTATATTTATACCTTGTTTTAATAAAGTGGAAATGATCCGACTTACTCTTCAAGTCAGGGTCTTTATACAATGGCTCATGATCAGCATTTTTAATTAGGCTCCAGTGTTTGTTAAACTAGTTCGCAAAATTCCGGGAGAAAAGTTGGCCGTACTGCGAAACTCTTTTAAGGAAAGCTTTTAATTAAGGGTTTACGTCATAACATTGAGCGCGTCACTTTAACAGGCAGCAAAGAAACCCGCGGAAGGCAAGTAGCGCGCCGGGCCGGCCAGGAATGCTCCGAGGGCCGCCGAGGAGGAGGAAGAGGAGAGGTGGAGGCGGAGTCGCAGAGAGCCCACTGGCCCGGAGGCGGGCAGCCGCCACACGTGTAGCTGGGAGAAGGCGGGCTGGGCGGGGAGGCGCTGTACCTGCGGCCGGTCGGGCGGGAGCGGTTCTGGCGGAGCTGGAAGTCGCGCTCGACCAGCAGGGCGGCTGCGGCGGGCTCTGTCCCGCGCTCATGGCCGGCCCAAGTTGGCGGCGGTCCTCGCCGTTGCTGAGGCGCTGAGCGGCTCCCCTTAAATCTCCTCCGGCGCCGACATGCCGCGCAGGCTGGATAAATTTTTGCAAATCGCCCCGCATTCCTTGGCTATCGTGCTGAGCCCCTGCGGCGGGGATGAAGCCGCGCCGCTCGAACAAGCAATCCGAGCGCAGCGAGAAGGCGACGCCGACGGGGAAGCGGGACGGGGAAGCCGGGCGGAAGGCGAGCCCGCGGCGGACAGCGAACTGGGGCGGCACCATATCGGCTACGAGATCTTCGCCGACTTCAAGCAGGGCAACATGCAGCACTTCTGGAACCAGAAGGTGACCGCGGCCGTGGCCGAGACCTTTTTCTTAGGCTGGATCGACGAGCAGGTGCTGCTGATCCAGGGCAAGGAGGAGCACCTGGAGGCGCTGCGCGAGGGTTGGATGCGCAGGGCTCTCAAACCCCCCGCCGGCTTCCAGATCAAATGCCTGGGTAAGAGCGCGCCGAGTCGGAGGCGGCGTCGGGACAAGCTGGGGCAGGACAGGAGGAACAGCAGCTGCGTCCCCGTGGAGAGGCGCCGCTCGCTTCCCTGCGCCGGGGGCGCTAACGTTTCCAGCTGCCGTTGGAGGCAACCGCCGCGCTCCTTCCTGACCTGTGGGAGGAAGGCGCTCCGGCTGGCTCGGCCTGGTTTCCTCCTCCATGTAACGCTTCTCACCTTTGCGCCGGCTGCCCTGAGCTTCCGTGGCTCTCTGTGGACGGGGGAGGCTTTTGGCGGATGCGGTACTGTACGCGCACACTTCGTGGTCTGAAGGGAATAGGGGTCGTTGCAACTTTTTAACCTTTTAGCCATCACTAAAACTCTCTCCCACTTTTGTCCGCCCCCCTTCCACCTTCAGCAGAAAGTATAACTTAAGGGGGGTTTCGGCAGGTCTTGTAGCTCTTCGCCTGTCAAGCTTGTCTTTAGCTAACGCTTTAATTTAGAGGTCTTCAAACTTGGCAACTTTAAGATTTGCGGACTTGAACTCATAGAATTCTCCAGCCAGCAGCGACTGGAGAATTCTGTGAGTTAAGTCCGCAAGTCTTAAAGTTGCCAAGTTTGGGGGGCCCTGCTTTAATTGAATGCTTGGCAAATTACACACACACACACTCACACACTTTTGTGGCCTGTTTCCAACCCCTTTCAACCCCCTGCATCAGTAATATCTAAGATGAAAGCTGACTTTTTGCATTAGAACAATCTGGAATAGTGAAATTGCATCCTGAGCTTGTGTTTGTAACGGTAGATAGGAGCACCTGAGTGCCATCCGGATTTGGAAATTTCATTTGTTTTATTTTGTAATGAGATAACGCTGACTTCTTTGCAAAACCCTATTTATAAAAGGTTTAATTTGTATACCAGGTTTCATAAGTATTTTTCTCAGGTTGTCCCAGAAAACGTTACATTTGTAGTATTTTATGTTGCCCCATTTTTTTTAAGCATGGTGTGCATGTTATGGTATAATTTCAGGAGCCGTAGGCAAGATTGAGAAGGTGGGAAAACATCTTGGAAGAACGCATTAGCTAACTGGATTATTGCCAAGAAAAGCACATGAAATGTGTCCATGTAATTCCGGAGTTCAGCTCAGATAATAGACTTATCTTTTCTTTCTTGTCTAACTTGCTAGCTTGGTTCTGTGAGTGAAACAGAATAAATGGCTGAGAATTCTGATTAAAAAAATTAGCAGTCACTGGGCATTTTTGCATTGAATAGGTTTGAAGTTATAGTCTGGTATAAATTATCTTGACTAACAGAAATGCTGACTTCTGAGTACATTTTTTTAGGATTGTATTGTGAATAGAACAACGACCATAATTCTCTCCCCCCCCCCCCCAGTACCCTTTTTAAAGTAATTTGGCATGAAGATGACTGAACAGATTTAGTTTCAGCTGCTTACAACTTCTATTGTTATGCCTAACAGCATATTGGTATTTGAATTTCCCTAATTAACCAAAGTAGGGATATTGAATTAATAATAAATGTCTTGATTCACCTCTTTGGGATGTAGAGTCAACAGTCCAAGTTAATATACTTTTTTTATTTATGATCAGTTGGAGACACTACAGCTAATCCTTACTTAAGAACCCTAATTGAACCTGACATCTCTGCCTCTAAGCAAAGTGGTATCTAAGTAGGAAATAATTTGATAGCAGCTGTGCTTTCTGTCTGGAAAGAAACAAGACTCATCAGTTTCACACCTTTGGTTTTTGTTTGCCTCCTAACCACTTCATCTCTCTTGGAATACTTGAGATCCTTTTTGTTATCTTGTACACATTGAAAGTATTGCGATCATACCACCAGTCCAAGGTTGGAAGCTGCCAGGGCCCTACACAAACAGCTAACTCTCTTGAAATCTCTTTCTCTCCAATCTCTTTGCTCTGCAAAGTGGGAGGGGTAGAGAAAGAGAAAAAACAAATGATTTCCATAGGCAATCTCTCCTTTGCCTGATCTTTTTTCACTACCACTATTCCATTGCTTTCAGTGTGCTGAACAACAAACAACTTAGTCTCTTGCAATCTCTTCCTCTCCAGTCTCTCTGCTCTGTAGGAGGGGAAAAAGAAAAGAACCATAGAGGACAAGATGAACTGACTGTAATAATGATCATTTGACTGAGGAAAGCAGCGAAGGTTGTAAATGGGCTGTAAAGTTATTTTTTTCAGCCCCCCCCCCTACATTGAATAGTTGGTACAGCTTTTTAATGGAGACTACCTGGAGAGTTTTCCTGGTAAAATTTCAAAAGTAGCTTACTCTTGCCTTTTCCTAGGGCTGGGGAAGAGTCATTGGGCTAGTCATTGGGCCTTCCAGTAGTCTGCTACTAGTTTGTCATTTTTTATTACCATAAGGGCTCTATTTGATGAGGACCAAAATTGTATGGGGTATATCTGGTTTGTGCTCTTATCTCATTCTAATTAAAGTTTTTGGCACTTGTGCCTGTAGAAGCTCTGTAGAAGTGTTGTATGCGTTGAGTAATATATTGTATATATTAAACCTTTATATTGCTGTAAGACATTTATGCTTTCATTTAAAAGAATTGTAAAGATACATGTGCACACACACATGGCAATAAGAAATAGGTGGACATACTTTTAATGCTAGGAAGTTTGTGAAATTTAAATTTAAAGACATTTCGGTTGAGAACTAGTCATAAGCTCAAAGATTTTGACTAAATATGTTAGTCAGTGCTCAACAATTGTTACTTTTAGCCAACAGTTTCTTTTTGACTTCTGTCTCCACAAAGGCACAGTAAGAAACTTTATAGTAAGTGTCGTTAGCAATTCTCTAATCTTCATCACTAAATATAGGAACATGACTTATCCTATCTTCCTTTATGGGCTGAGGTAAATACAAAAAAACACAAGGTGGTGGTGGTGGTGATGATGATGATATCTCTCCACATCTTCCGATCTTACACTATTTGAATTTTTCTATACTTTGGCTGATGTCTGTTTTGATGGTAAACACAAGATATGCCACCTGTAAGTTGTTTTTTCTGGCTGTTGGATTTACATATCTGATTGACCCTCTGCCACCTGCATTTATTACAACAATGATTGTTCACATAATGACCTTTCTAATATGGAAGTCAGACAATAAGAAATCTATAGAGAGATCTAACATGCACAGGCAGAACAAATTCCTTGGTATCAAGTCATGTAACGTAGAATTGTCTTGTCTGAATGGTTGAGGCTCGTTGGAAGCTCAGCTCCATCATATAAATTGAATTTGAGCCTTTTAATGGGTTACATAGGAAACATATCCCATGACTCTGAGATATTCTGCTTCTCTTTAGTCTTGTCACAAATCCATCTCGTAGTTGTTCTTTATTAGTAAAGCATCCTATTTCCTTCAGTACTTGGCATATTTATTTTAGACTTGCAAGAAGAGTCATGTTAAATATCTGATATAAAATACTAACAGTGGAATAGTTCTATTTCTTCAATTTATTTTTGGAAGGTGCTGACTTTTATTACTGTGGTTTTCCTAGTTGATTTTTTTGTGCTTTGAAATACATTTTGCTTGAAAGTCTCTAAGTTTAATTTGTCATGAAAAGAAAATACAAAATTTGTGAATTACATATTTTAAAATACTATTTGTGACATAGATTGAGGTAAAAAAAACCCATGTCTCTAAGATTTTGTAGAACTTGAACAGAAGATTCCATTTCTGGCCAATCCAGGTGGGACTGCTGGAAGTTGGTTTCCAGACACATATTCTCTTGCATAGAAAATATGTATTGGGCCAAAATGGTATTTAAAAAAAATATGGATGGAAGAATAAGGATTAACTGTTAGAAAGATAATTACTGAGAAATATTTTGCCAAGTTACCTCAAACTTAACTTTTTAATTTTTTTAAAAATCTACATTATCTGTAAAGTATCTTCACAATGATTTGGTTCAGACGGAACATTGACCCATGAGTTGAGATAAATAAGTGAGCTCCAAACCATGCATTTCCATCTTGAACCCTCCCTTTTCTCCCTTGCAGAAAACAGTTTGTTATTACATTTAACTTCAAAAGAAGAATTTCAACTCATAATCAGATTTATATTTTAGACTTGAGGGCAAGTAGAAACAATAGCATGCCAGTTTAGCTGAATTAGTAAAATTACCGAAGAACAAAGAGCGTAATGACAGGATATGGCAAAGTGTGCCCATGTTTGAAGCTTGGATTACTGAATTATAGTCAGGTATTGCATCAGAACCCAAGACAATGCAAGAAATAAGGCATTTACAGCATCTTGTACTGAAAATCCATATTACTTTAAGATATAATACATTTAAGTTATATAGTAATAGCTTATATAAAATAAACACAATTGGCAATCAGAAAAGCAACACCAGCAATACAGAATACACAGAAGTAGAATAATTAAGTTGAAGTATTAGAACCTTAAGCAAAAGATGTTTTTGCACAGTAATTAGTGAGTCAATCATGTTCCTCTGAGTGAAAGATTTAAGTAATTGTACAGTCCCCAAAGGGGAAATCTTTCTGCAGTTGAGAATGATCTTTGCTTTGCTTCTAATCTTGGAATCATCATGCTTTTTGAAATTTGTAGCAGAGAAGTAAGAATGTGTGTGCATATGTATATACATATAGGTAAAGGTTCCCCTTGCACATATGTGCTAGTCATTCCTGACTTTTGGGGGCGGTGCTCATTTCTATTTCAAAGCTGAAGAGCCAGCACTGACAAAAGACGTCTCCGTGGTCATGTGGCCGGCATGACTAAACACCGAAGGCACACGGAACACTGATATCTTCCCATCAAAGGTGGTTCCTATTTTTCTACTCGCATTTTTAGATGCTTTCCAACTTGTAGGTTGGCAGAAGCTGAGACAAATATAATGGGCGCTCACTCCGTTACACGGTGCTAGGGATTCGAACTGCCAAACTGCTGACCTTTTTGATCGACAAGCTCAGGTAGCCACTGAGCCACCTTTTGTATATACATAATT